ATTAAGGGAAATTGTTAAAAGCAGACCAATCTTACAAGAGATGCTAAAGGGACTCCTTTGGACAGAGAAGCAACAACAGCCAACAACAACTGACCATTAACACACATGATGATATAACCCAGAAACCAACCCAGCTATGGAAGTATCCAAAGTAAATAAGCCTATAAGATTATGAACAGGGAACCAGAGACATCAATTGACAAAAGAGAACAACTACAAACCAAAAAGAGGGAAAAAACTGTGTTGTTACAGAACTTCTAAATGGTAGGCATGTCAACTACAAGACAACTACAAGATAGAACAGACTGTTCTAAACTGGGGAAGAAAATTGTAAATCACAGGATAACCTCAAAGAAAAATGATAAACCTTCACGTCAAAATCAAAAAAGAGGACCACAAATATTTAGCAAATACTCAAACAATGGCAACAAAGGAAGTGATAACACAATTCATAAACAAAACAAGCTCAGCATAGAAAATTATATGGAATAAAGAAATCTAACCTATGAAAAAGCACATAACTAAAATGACAGCAACAAATTCATATTTGCCGATAATTACGTATCTGGCAAGGGACTTATCTCTAAGATTTATAGAAAACTCCAATGCCTCCACACCAAAGGAATTAAGAATCCAATTAAAAAATGGGCAGAAGACATGAATAGACACTTCACCAAGGAGGATATTCAGGTGACCAGCAAATACACGAAGAGATGCTCACAATTTTTGGCCATCAGAGAGATGCACGTGAAAACAACAATGAGGTACTGTGTCACTCCAGCACTGATGGCAGGGTTCAATGAGACAGAAAATAACAAATGCTGGTGGGGATATGGAGAGATAGGGACTCTCATACACTGCTGGTGGAACTGGGAAGTGATGCAGCCACTGTGGAAAGCAATATGGTGATTCCTTAGAAAGCTGGAATTGGAGATAGCATTTGACCCAGGAATCCCATTACTAGGTATATATCCTAGAGAGGTGAGAGCCAGGACAGGAACAGATATATGTATGCTCATGTTCATCGCAGCACTATTTACAATAGCAAAAAGATGGAAACAGCCTACATGCCCATCAGCGGAAGAGTGGATGACCAAACTATGGTACATACACATAATGGAGTGCTACGCAGCACTAAAGAATAATGTAGAGTCTGCTAAACACCGCATAATACAGATGAACTTGGAGGACATTATGCTGAGTGAAATAAGTCCATCATAGAAGGACAAATATAGTATTAGTTCGTTGTTGTGGAGGGTCAAGGAAAGGTTTATATATGGAGGGAAACTTTCTTTGTTGGTTGCCAAGGGTGGTAGGGGAGGAGAAGGAACACTGCAAGAAAAAAAAAAAAAAGCATTGACCCATGTCACTTTAGTTTTGTGTATATAACTGTACATGAATTATATTTTAATAAAATGCATTTTTTGTGTGTGTTGAGTTTTTTTATTAATTAATTAATTTTTTAAATTGTGATTTGGGTGAAAATTTACAGAGCAAGTACACTTTCCATACAGCAGATCACATACACTTTGTCTCATGACATTGACCACAATTTAGCACAATGCAACATCTCCTCTCCCACTTCCTCCCAATAGCTACCGCTTCCCTGTGTCCATCCCTCCATGCACTCCTACCCCCTGAGCTGTCTCCCTGTGCCTGAGCAGCCCTTCTTTCTTGCTTGTTTTCGCCAAGGAGTGTATCTACCTCAGGTAAATGCTCAACTAGTATGCCTGTCTATTGCTTGGCTTGAAGCCAAGAATAAAGTAAATATCTAGTTATAAAGCCAAATGAAAAAAAAAAAAAAAAGATCCTGAGGGTAATCTGAATGAAGAGAAGCTGCTTGTGGTTCTTCACCCAAATTCCTTCAAGTCTTGCCTGGATTCTTTTATGACCTGGGTGTTTGGACAAGTGTGTATGTATTTGTGGCCTGTGGGACTTCAGATGGCCATGAACGTTTTTTTTTTTTTTTTTAAATTGTGGTAAAATACCCATGTAGTAAGATATAAGCCTCCGTTTCCCACACAGCTAGCAGTTAGGTGGTTGACACGGTGAGGAACAACATGTAGGTGGTATCTGCCGGGCAGGCTGGATGGCTCGAACTTGTTCATCTGTTCTTCATCCTCAGCTGTCGTATGTAATGTCTGGGTACAGATGCTTCGTCTGCCCTGTGGAGTACAACAACGACACCAACAGCTTCACGGTGGACTGTGAGCCCTCAGACCTGTTTCGCCTGCAGGAGTACAACATTCCTGGGTTGATCCAGTCAGTCATTGGCTGGGTATGTAGATGGGTGAACAGCCTCTCTTTGGATAGTGACTACAAAGCAAGAAGCCCCCTCCCATAAACAGAAAACAGAAACACCTGGCTTCCTCCCTTCCCAAAGCTGTAAGACCTAGGATGAAGGATAGTCGTTCAAGCCAGTTCATGGTGAGGGCAGGAAGAGACCCTTCCTTCCACCTCAAATCATTGAGACCAGTGGTTCTCAGTGTGTGCTTTGTTCCTGGGCTCCCGAGGGGCCCTGAAATCCTTTCTAGGAGGTCCACAGAAGTCATATTTTCGTATTAATCCTATGACAGACATCGTTTGGCTTTTCCACTTTGTTGGCATTTGCCACGATGGCGCAAAAGCTTTGGTGGGTAGCACTGTTGGCCCCTTAGCATGAATTAAGGCCGTGGCTCCAGATTGTGCTAAAAGTCAGTGGATTCTTCATGCCTTACCAAAAAACAAACACTGCCGTTGAGTCATTTCCGACTCATCGTGATCCCTCCTTGGGTTTCTGAGGCAGTATCTCTACAGAAGTAGATTGCCTAGCCTTCCTTCTGAGGAGTGGCTGGTGGGTTTGAACCAGCAGCTTTCTGGTTAGCAGTCATATGCCTTAGGCACTACACCACCAGAGCTCCTTCACACTTGCAGGAAAAAGAGCCTGTTTCATTTAAGAGTATCTGTGATGAACTAGTAAAATTAACACTTTTGTTAAGTTTTGATCCTTGAATATACATTTTTTAAAAATGCTCTGTCACAAAATGGAAAGCATGCATAAAACGAAAGCTAAAGTGTGGTGCCTCCAAGTACAAGGCTTGCTCGAAGGAGAGGCATTTGTACACTTATTTGAATTGTGAGCTGAACTGACTTCTTTTTTTCTAGAAACATAATTTTTACTTGAAAAGAACTGACAAGCTATCACTGTTCAGACTTGGTTGTTTGGCAGACATATTCTTGAAAATGAGCAGAGTGAGCCTGTCACTTCAAGGGAACAAGGGACAGTAATTGTCATCAGTGATAAATTTGGCTTATCAGTGAAAATTAGAATTTTAAAAACTTGTTTCTGCTGCTGTTGAGCTTGACACCTTCCTAATACATTGTCGCTCCTAACAAGGTCTGTGGTGGATAAGATGGTGTTTTGACATTATATAGTCAAATGTGTCTGCATTGGGAAGATTTACGTAACTTGCTGAACTCACATGGTGTTCCACAGTCGTACGTGAATGAAGACTCCATTCACAGTGCTTAGTGGTCTAGAGGGTTGGGCAATCCTACTTCCGTAGTGATACTGCCTCGGAAACCCAAGGAGGGGTCGCTATGAGTCGGGGCCGACTCGATGGCACATAACAACAACAACAACAGTGGTCTAGAGGAATTTTATGTAGCAGGGTACAGAAAGGTCATTGATAGGGTTACAGATTCCACAGCATACTTGCCTTTTCAGAAGCCACCACTTGTCAAATTCTGCTGCGTCAAAGAAGACTATCCACAGTTACCTAAAAAGACTACTAAAATACTCTTCCTTTACCAGCTGCATAATCTATGTAATGCTGGCATTTCTTTAACCAAGGCAACATATCACAACAGATTGAATGCAGAACATCTTTATGTCTTCAGTTAAGTCAGACATTTGTTACAGAAATGGTGTGTGTGGGGGGTGGGTTGGAGCCATTCTTCTCCCTATTTGTATGTCTGTGTGTTTGAAAGTATAGTTAGTTTCACAGGTGATTTATGCTAACACATAGTAAGACCAGGCCTGTGGGCATCTAACTTTCACTTTGTTGTATTCTCTTCAGAAAACGGTCCAGATGTACCCCTTCCAGATTCACAGCATTGCCCTCTCCACCTTTGCCTCGCTCATTGGCCCCTTTGGAGGGTTCTTCGCGAGTGGATTCAAGCGAGCCTTTAAAATCAAAGTAGGAGAACCGACTGTTCTGTTCCCTCATCTCCCAGCCAAGCTCCTCCCCATCTCATTCTCCCCCATCTTTACCCTACTGCCTTTTTCCACCAGCTCCTCCCCATCAACCACAACTTCCTTCAAAATACTGGGCTATTAATATGGTTCTTCTTGGCCTATGCACTGAATTTTAGGTGGATTGAATAAAAATTATGTTGCTTCCAAGAAAATTCAATAGTTGGATTTTCAGTTATATGTTAATGTTAAGTAACCCAACCCACTGCCATCGAATCAGTTCTAACTCATAGTGATCCTATAGGACAGAGTAGCACCGCCCCATAGTTTTCAAGACTGTAAATCTTCATGGAAGCAGACTGCCTCATCTTTCTCCCACAGGGTGGCTGGTGGATTTGAACTGCCAACCTTTTGGTTAGCAGGCCTAATGCCTTAACCACTGTACCACCAGAACTTTGGTTAACATAGCTTCCTATAAAAGGGAATTTTGTAATTTAACAAGATTGTGTTCTATTATAGCCTCAGCATTTGAATCAGTATTTCATTCTCACCTTCTGTTGATCCCAGCTACTCAGGACAGGAGCTGGATATGGAGGTGGGACTTTCAGGCTGGGGTTTGGTCATTGGCTGAGTCCAGGCTCATTGATCTTTCCCCCTGTCTGTAACAGGATTTTGCCAATACCATTCCTGGCCATGGAGGCATCATGGATCGCTTTGATTGCCAGTATCTGATGGCCACCTTTGTCAATGTGTACATTGCCAGTTTCATCAGGTATAGTGCCTTTTCCATCTGACCCAAGAGGGTAGAATTTTAAGTATGGTGAGGTGCAAGAATTGTACCTACATCTATCTAGTTCAAGTCAGAAGCATGCCAAATATGAATGCAGTTTTCAGTTGTGACGTTTATGGATTCTATGAGACCTCACTGGCCTCCATTAGTTTAGATAAACCAAAGGTCAGACCAGCCACTCGGATGATTGTACCCTGGAGCCGTGCTCCAGCTCAGCACTGTCTCTCCTCTGTCTGTTCCAGGGGCCCTAACCCGAGCAAGCTGATGCAGCAGTTCCTGACCCTGCGGCCAGACCAGCAGCTGCACATCTTTAACACGCTCAAGTCTCACCTAACCGACCAGGGGATGTTGACAGCCGCCACAGAGGATGAGTAGGGGCTGCCCGGCTGGGAGAGCAGGAGCAGCACTAAGCAAGGGGCAGGTCTCAGGCAAGACCAGCTGGTGTGTGACTTAAACGATGACAAGGCTTCAACTCACTTTTTAAAAAAAAAATTTTTTGTGTGTGTGGTAGAGTTTTTTTCATTGTGGGTTAAAAAAATCTGTATATATAGTCTATGTGTTTATGATTTGGATTGTGAGTGAGCATAGCTTTGAGTTGGAAAGAAGTCACAGGTGTAAATCCATCTGGGTTTTTTAAACAACAGTATTTAACAATCTGGAAGACAGTGTTGCCCAGCTTGAGAGCATCTGCATGGTGGTTCTAGCCCCCTGTCAATTGAACTAATTCTGGGCTGAATCAGAGAACAGTGAGCATCGTGTCTGACAGGTTCAAGGGGACCTGGCTTACTGTCTCTGCAGCTGCCCCACTGGCAGGGAAGAGGTGCTGTGTGGCTTGGGTGTCTTTGCTGGACTGGAGCGCTTTCACCTGAGTGCTTCTTTAGTAATCCTTGCCTTGGGGCTCTGAGAGAAAGGTAGCCTTCTGCTGGGCTAAAGGGATGCAGGTTTATGAATCACATAAGCATTTCATCTGCACCAAAATCCTGCAGGGTATAAGCTCTGCTCTGTAATACGGTTTCACCTTACTTCATCACAGCCTGAAGGAAGGTTTCAGTTTTTAATTTTTTAAGAAAGCATGAAAAATTATTTATAGTTAGTCTGAAACAAAGCAAAACAAACAGAAACAAAAAACACACTGTAATATTTCAGATGTCTGCAGTAGAATGTATTGTACCTGAGCCCTATCCCACGGGTGTTAGGCTCAAGTGTGCTCTATGGGGCAGTCCAGAGAACTGTGTCTTTTCAGGGATGTTGCTGTTCACGTGTGTGTGGTAGACTGTTGCTGCTGAATCCCTCCTGGGCTTTCTCGTTAGGCAGGGAGCAGAGGGACGTGGCATCTAGTTATTCATGCATCCTTTATCCTACCACCATTAGCTGCTGTGTTGTGTATATACTACTCTTAAAGGTGAATGTGTGTCTGGGTGTTTGCTTTAAGAATCACTTTTTTCAGTTATGCCACAACTTCACTGAAAAATCTGAGTCCTGCTTAAAACTATGGGAAACCTAACCCATGAGAGGTTTGGTTATTCTGAAGATTAAATGCATATTTTTTATATAATGTGACCAGTTTATATGTAGTTTGTATCTTACTGGGGGACCTCTTATTTTTTTTTTAAACTGTGATTTATGTTTTTCTTTCTCTAAATACAGGAGTGTGATTGACTTTGGGAAGACACATTCTTTGTCAGGGCAGCGCACAATGGAGTGTAGTTGAGAGGACTTGGGGCCCAAATACGTTACATGATTCCATGCCATGGTTGTTTTCATTGCCAAGTGAGGGCGTGAAGATTTGCTTCAGCACCTTGCCTGTTCTTGTTTTTTTTTTTTTTTAAATCTGCCTTCCTGGTTCCTTGCGAGCTCTTAGCTCAGATCCTGGAAGTGCCCTGGTGATATTGAACTCCCAGGTCACTGTGTGAATGTCCACACGTATGAAGCATTGAAGCCACATCTTTCTTCTCGACTTTCACTTCCATTTCCGCTGAGTGGCTCCTTTTTCAAGGTCAAGGCCCTTTCAGAACAAAATATGCACCAGGGCTCTCAGTCTGGGTCCTGGTTTTTGGGCCATCTCCTAATCCCCTTTTCCGTGATGCTGGCTAAGCAGCTTCATGTTACTGGGGGCTGCTTTAGGGATTGAGTCCTGTCCTGGGCACCAGAGGAAACAAAAAAACCCAGCACTGTCGGGCCTTTTCTAAATGCTGGTCTTTAAGATGAGTCAGTATCGCAGCAACAAATCCTAAACAGTGAAGGTGATAATGACAGTTTTCTAATTGAAGAAGGACCATAGCTCCCCAAACCTGACACAGAAGCATGCCTCATTTGCCCTGTATTGGCCCGTGTGCACATTGGTGGGGTCTTTGGGTTGAAAGAGGGACCCTCAGGGCTGGGTCCAACATCAGAGACACACTCTTGAGCCAGGCTGCCTTTTGGGATCAGGGAGCCTGGCAGTGGCAGGCTGGGAAATCCTAGAGCCAGCCTGTGGGTAGGTTGGAATCCTGGAAACTGCAGCTAGAGACCCATCAGAGCTGCCAGCAAGAAGGCCGGTGGATCAGCTTGAGCTTTCTTTTCTGCACATTTCCTCACATCCTTGCTGGTGAAATAGCCTAGTCTGGTAGCCAGGAGAACACTGCCCCCTTGTGTCTGTATAGCACATTGTTGTCCTTTCTCCTGTTTATAACCTCACCACAAACAAGATTGGGAGACTGTTTTAACACACCTGTGTCAGATCTTAATGGGTGGCATGATTTGCTTCAGATCCCTTCCCCACCCCTCCACCCCCTTCTAAATAAAATGAAACAATCGAAGCTCTCTGTGTGTCCTCCCTTGCTGTGAATCCAGTTCACTTCCATGCATGGTTTTATGTTTCCATTTGTTCATGTATTTCTAAACATTACGTAGTCCTGGTTTAGAGCCTTTTTTGCTTGTTTTCCAGTTTGTGCCCTACATTCTCACAACAGCCTCTTGAGTGCCTCAGGCTTGTGTCATTAGGAGACTGAGGGGCCAGCAGAGGGAGTGAAAGGGAGCAGGCTTCCAGCTCACGTGATTGAGTTTGGGCTCTGTCTGTTTGGGCTTTGCCTGCCAGGACAAGGACTAGGTTGGCCCCAAGCTCCACTTACCTGTGAGAAATTGTTGTACATGAGCCTGAACATCTGCAGCATTCCTTCCCTCAGACTCTTGAGACCTGACCTTCTTCACTGGTTAGGAGCAAAAAGCTTGAGTTGCTCATAACTAGCGACATAAGGAGTTGGATCAGCATCTTCAGAGGGTCAGCATGGCAACCATGAGCCTAGGTGCCCTTCCTGATGCATTTAGTCATGACAGCTCACACGGCTCCAAGTCCTCGCCCTTTGTGCATGCCTGTGCCACCCCTTAACCTCTCAGCATCGGAAGGCGCACATTTCTGTTTTACTCCTGAAATTGAAACTCTCTAAGGCCGCATGGGGCTCATAATTGATGCTTACTACTTTTTTCTGTTTTATATTCTGAGCATTTTAGTAGCTGTAGCGTGACTACATTTGTTCTTAGTGTCGTGTAGTTCTGTAATGTGTATTAGAAATGAATTTCTATTTTCACAAGAGGTGAAATGTAACTTCACCTCACACCAGGGAACTTTGGACCCCTCTTTCTGGTATTTCTTTCCCCCCACTGAGCTTTTTTCCTGTAACTTAATCTAATTTATGTATGAAAATCCCAAAGGTTTATTCTAAGGGAGACCAAACAGACCCTGCGATTTGATTCTAAGCTGGTTGCTGAGTTGGCTCGAGTGTGACTCTGATGGGTCCTTGTATTCAGACCTTCAGGAGTCACTCTGCTCCTGGCAGGCTCAGGACCCTCCCAACTGTGGACAGAGGTGGGAAGGGAAGATGTGAATGACACAGGACAAAGAGTGTCATTGCTGAGAACACCATCTGGCATCTATGGCCATGGCACTCTGTAGGAAACAAGTGCATGGTGGATTCCCATGGGTAGATTTTCATCACTCCGCCAAATGTAGCCTATCACTGCCCAAACTGCTTCCTGTTTTAGTAATGTCTAGGCACAGCCCTTCCTGGGTTCTAGCTGCTGTGGTGAAGATGAAAGCCCAAGGGGAAGATGAAGATGTCCAGGTGACCGTCATGGACACATCACAGGACACACTGTGGCAGACTCCCACTGTGCTTGCTGAGCGTAGGACACAGAGCAGCTAGAGCACAAACTGTCAGGGCCCCAAAGAGGGGCTAATTCTTGGGCAGAACTGTATTATTTTGTCCTTTTCTTGGTCAAAACAAACTTCTGTTCCCCATACTACTTTCTATTCATTTGCCCAGCCTGCAGTTTTTAAAGGGATCAAAAGCTCTTACTTCCTGTCTTGGTTTCCCCTAGTTGGGTGGGTGCTAGGATTTGGACCTCGTGGTGATGATGTGTGGAGCCTTATTTAAGAGCTCTGTTAGGCCCACCTCCTCTTGGTCTTGGCCTCTCCTCACTCACAGCCCCACAGAAAGGGGCCCCGTTCTCAGATTGGAGTACCTGCTGCTGACTGTATGCTGTGTTTCCCCTTGAAAGTGTCCTCATCATCCCCCATTCTCCCCCTCCCACCCATCAGGTTAAGCAGCAGTAACCTCACTCTCTTGGGTTCTTGGGGTTGGAGGCTGTCCTGGGGCTGCCTGTTCATTCACTGAATAAGGCTTTCACCACTTGTGTGGGGACCACGTTTTCCTAGGCAGAGAGATTTCACTGGGAGGGTAGTTTGAGAGGTATAGTTTGGATGCTGAAGTGTTGGAGTTTTTAGGACAAGTTGATGGTTTATGTGAATAGAGCAGCAGAAAAAAGTGAAATGGAGGGTTTTCTGGCCAGCAGTTTTCAAATCTCTTGGCTATTTAAAGGTCCTGTCCCCTCCTCCATCAAATGCCTATCTGCATGGGACCTTATGTCTTTATTCTTGAGGCGATTCTTGAGTCAGTGAGATGCCAGCCTGTTTATTAATAACAATTGCAATAATAGTAATAGTGCTCTATATGCATCAGACACAGTATGAAGGATTTATATACATTATCCCTTTTAATCCAGAAAACAGTTTTTGATTAGGTATTATTATTCCATTTTATGGACAAGGAAGCTAAGACATCTTGACTGAGGCTGAGAACAGTGGTTGGGAAGCTGGACTTTATGCCCAAATAGTCCTAGGTCTGAGTCCTGCCTTGCCACTGACTAGCCGCATGACCCTGGTTACTTAGCAGCTCTAAGCATCCGACTCTGACCAGTTGGGTCTGATAATAGCATCTTCCTCGTGGGAAGGATTGCTGTGAGGGTTTAGTGAGATAATGCATGTAAGCCTTTAGCCTAGTGCCTGACACATAGTAAGTACGCGGTAAATGGTAGTTATTTTTGTTGCACTCAGCTGGTAGTTTGAACCCAGGTTGGTGGAATGCCTCGGCCTTGAGCTCTTCTTCACCACACTGCCGCCCACCATGCAGGCAGCCGGGGGTGGGGTAGGGGTGGGAGTGG